ACCTTTGTACCTCTATTTATTGGAGCAAAAGCCAATTTGGGCTGATATTACATACATGGTGGACAATAACTATAAAATCGGATAAATTTCGATATCGAAGGTATATACGAATCTAAACCGATCTCGATAAAATTTTAAAGAGGTATTTTCGAGCTTTATCTGATGTCCAGTATTAAATATCCTTGTTGTGGATGCATATTACGAATGTGAGGTGAGTGATGAAACATATGTATGGGAGCTATAGCTATATCTGAACCGATTTCACCAAAATTTGAAGTACTTGCATCTGGGCTGAATTCCGTCGCAAGTGGGAAAATTCAGTCCATTTGGGCTGATATTATCTATTTGGAGCACAATTAATCTAAAATCGGATATGAGATGTTTCTAGTATATATGAGATATTTCTTGTACGAAAAATTATTCTTGTGGAGAACATATAACGAATGTGAATGTGATATCTGGTACGAAAGTATAACCAAATCTGAGAAACATATATATATGGTAGCTATAGCTATATCTAAAACGATTTTCACCAAGTTGTATGTACTTGCTTCTAGACTGAATTCTGTGCTAAAATGTGACAAAATTCAGTTCATTTGGACTGATATTATCCATTTTTGTGCATAAAATCATTTGAAGATTTATAAGGGAGCTATATCTAAATTTTAACCGATTCTCATCAACTTCAATTGGGTCTAATTGGGCCAAACAAATATTGTTTGGAAAATTTCATCTCAATCGGATAATAAATGCGACCTGCCTGTTCACAAAAATACATAAACATTATAGGTCATATATCATTGTCTAATTTCTTTCCACACATTTGTAATGGAAATCATATCACAGTTTCCGACAATGTACCGCTGAGCCAGCCAGACAAAACCCACAAAGCGGTGGACTTCAATAGTTCCGACTCTGATATTTTATGGAATTAAAACCCTTTGTCTGTCAGTCAATTAACAGAGCGGCACTGTGCAACGTCAAATGTAAATGCATTGATGCACATTTAATGCATTCTGTGACTCGTCGTTTGAGAGTGTGCTTTTATTCCCCAAGTGTGAGTGAGTGTGTGTATGTGTGTGAGAACATCATGCACAGGTAAAGTCGTTGTCGTTGTGTTTGCTTTGAATTCAAATGCGTTTGTTCTTTTTTTATTATTACATTAATTGTTTTTTCTCTCTCGCATTTTTGTTGTCTGATAATTTGCTTCTATTGCTGCAGTAATAAGTGCTGCTGCTACTGCATATTTCCACTCTACCCTTCGTTACAAGCATTTCCGTGTAAAAATGTCAACCGGGGAATACAAGACATGCGAATGTTGTTTGTGTTCGCCATCAGAGTTATGTTCCCTTGTTCCGCTCGTCTTTTTTTTTTTGTGTGTTTTGTTTGTGGAACGGAAGTTAACTTGTCATGTTTTGTCTGAACGTTTGTATATTTTATACAATTATAATGAAAGAACTACATATATGTGAGTATGTATATATAAATATACATGGAAGATGGAATGACAACACTCGTTTTGCCATTTATGAGTGTAGTGAGTTTTCAACGTTGTTAAATCAAAAGGTTAATTGTTTCTTTGTTTGCCATTTTTGTAATCCTCACAAAAGGACATGTCAGAAATTTCAATCATAATACAATGACTAGAGACAATGCTCTTTTCTATGCAGATATCAAAAAAAGAGTTTTAATTCTTCAAAGATGACAAAAGAAGTAAGGATAAAAGGTAATAAATCTGGATTCTAATTAGCAATTGAAAATGTGGAAAAGTTAAAAGATTAAAACAGCAACTTTAAGTTACTAGCAAGAATTTGTAATTTTTTTTTTCATAATAATATAGCCAGGTTTAAAAATTCCGAAAAGTGCTGTAATAGTTTATAATCATTTGAGTTATTTGATGTGCCCAATGGCGTATGAATAATGCACCGTTTACAATGCTCATACGATTGCAATGCTATTATATCGAAGAAACATTGGCCAGCAATGAATTGTAGGAAGCATCAGCGTCTGAAATATTCCCTCATCATATGATTATTTCTTTATTTTGTGTTCGGGAGAAGCAAAAGATGGTCCTACCTGTCTCGAGAGTTGATACTGATAAAATGAGTATCCTTTGTAGGAGATGTAGTAGAAGTAATATGTCGATATTGATGCACCATTTATTTCATTGACAATTTGTTTGGGAGGTACCATAATTCATACCTGACCTAATGTTTTTTAAAAAATGGGAGCTGCAAAAAACGCCATAATTTTTACATTTTTACAATGTCGGAAATAGCATCATATGTCAGAATTAGTATAGATTTTTTCGAATTGGTCACCTTGGGCACGAATTATGGCGTTCAAACCGAATGCTGCTCTGAGGTATTTTGGACAATTCCCGGCAAGGCACTTGCTTGAGGTGATCGACACTTTGACAATTTTTAGTGCAAACCTTGCTTTTCAAAATAGTACAGACACAAGATTTTGGTGGCCATTGAAGCGAGGAACATCATTTTGTAACCATTCTTGGGTGAAGCGTACTAAGTGGGGTGGTGCTGAGTTCTGTTAGAATGTCCAAGGTCTTTGGCCACAATGTTTGTGTGCCCAAGGCTTTAATGCACCCTCCAGAATATTTTCGGAATAATATTCGGCATTTATTTTGATGCACACCATCACCATAGCCGGCGCTTGAGTTATGGTGGCCAACCGAAGGTGCACATTTTCAACTGACCTCTTTGGTAAGTAAAATGGATCATTTTGTTTGTTTACAAACTGCTGGACAACGAATATTTTCTCATTGGAGAAAGCCTAATTCGTCAGTTCACCACTTTCGGCCAAGCGAAGCAACTTTTTAGCTCTTTTGAGTCTATTTTCTTTCCGTTGCGGTGTAAGTTCTTGCACTTTTTGGAATTTCAATGGCTTTACCCCGAGCTTATTTTTCAATATTAGCCGAATAATACGATATGTTCAGCTCACGATCCATTTTTCGGCAACTGTGAGGCTGTTTTCTTTCGTCCAAATCCTTAACGTCGGGCTACGCTACCAGTATCACAGTAAAGATCGATGTTACGAGACACGAAAGATTTATTCACATATAAATGCTGGAGTGCTCTAACGATAGCCACTTGTAGTTTTCCAGCCAAATATAAACAAATCACACTATCACGCTTGAATTCCATCACGAATAACTTTTTCCTGGAAAGTTCTGACCACAATGCTTTTGTACGCTTGTAAACAATATAATGAGCTGTCACTGGAATAATTTTAACATCTGTCGGACGAGTGGCTTAAAAATGACAGCTCAGTGAGGATTTTTTAGGAACAAAGTCATCCGTGATGGAATTCAAACGTTATATTGTGATTTCTTTATATTTGGTTGGAAACCCACAAGTGGTTGTCGTTAGAGCACTTTAGCATTTAAATGTGAGTAAATTTTTTGTATCTCGTACCATCGCCGTGATACTGGTAGCTTAGCCCGACGTCGAGGAAGTGGACGGAAGAAAACAGCAACATCAGCAGAAATGGTTCAAAAAGTAAAGAAGCGACTTGATCGAAACCCGCGTCGCAGTGACCGAAAAATGGCTCGTGACCTGAACATATCGCAATATTTCATTCGGCAAACATTGAAAAATTAGCTCGGGGTAAAGCCATTGAAATTGAACTGCCGAATTTGGTTTTCTCCGACGAGAAAACATTTGTTGTTCAACAGTTTGTAAACAAAGAGGTCAAAGAGGTCAGCTGAAAATGTGCACCTTCGGTTGGTGACCAGAACTCAAGCGCCAGCCATGGTGACGGTGTGGGCCGCCATAACAGCCGATGGTCGCTCTCCGCTCGTATTAATTGACCGTGGCATTAGATCAAATGCCGAATATTATCGCGAAAATTTTCTGGAGGGTATATTAAAGCCTTGGGCACGCAAACATTTTGGCCGGAGACCTTGGACATTCCAACAGGGCTCAGCACCATCGCTCTCAGCACGCATTTCCAGCGCACAATGGCCACCAAAATCTCCGGATACCAATCCGTTGGACTATTGTGTCTGGAGTATTTTGGAAAACAAGGTTGGCACTATGAAAATACGAAAGTGTCGATCACCTCCAGAAAGCGCTTCGCCAAAATGGGGCCAAAATACCGCAGAGCAACATTCGGGCAGCGTGTGACGGTTTCATTGGCCGTTCGAAGGCCATAATTTGTGCAATGGCTTATTCAAATATTTGATGCTATTTCCGACATTTTTTTCTTTCATTCAATAAAATTAAAAAAATGTAAAAATTATGCGTTTGACCTGTTTGTAGTTTTTTTTATCTCACCTTGTATATAGGTATCTGCGTAGAAATGAGTACTTGAATGATACAAAAAGTACTAAATGATACTACATTAGATATTGGGTGAAGAGGTAGAGCTGGACTCCGAAATTTTGAAGTGGAATATGGAAGTGGGTTTGGAAATGTGTACTACAGTTGTACAAAAAGTAGTAAACGGTACTAATTCTCGGCCACTGTTGGTGTCTAGGATGAAGAGATGTAAATTAATTTGGATTTGCGTACTAAAATTATACTAAACTTGGCATTGGGTGATAATAGCATTAATGCTAAAACCATTTCACGCCCTTTGTTGTACAAAGCTTCGAAGTTTCTCCAAGAATTCCATTTCAACATCTAACTAGGTTGACCTCTACCCTTATATAGCCCTTTTTTAATTGCCACTGTTGGCCTTGTTAGCTTGGCGTTTAATTGGTTTACATTAATTGAAATCATTTCCATGTTTTCCATAGAAATTTATTAAATAAAAGCAGTTGGCCCTTTTTTCCTATTCGAGTGAGAAGTGCATTTAATAGCCCATTAAAATGGACGTTAGTGCAAAGGTTTCTTCTTCACAACACTTTTACTTGTTTATCGCGAATTTTTAAAAGCTTCAAAAGTGTGGCTACTTAGAAATACACAAAGTTCTCCATATTTTTTCTTAGCCATCCCAAATAAAATACCTAATTTATTATTTTGCTTTTGACTCTCTTGCAGATACAAAGCTAAGCTGGCAAAGACTACGTCAGAGAAATAAATAAAATATTTTCCCAACTCCAAAGAGAAGGTGGAACGTGGAAGACAAGAACATTTAAACGTTTAAGTAAAGTGCGTTTAACGAGAAAGCGGATAAATAGAAGTACTCGGATTGAAGAGGCGTGTAGCATAAGAGTTCCTTATGTTTATGCATGCTGCCTGGTGAACGGTAAACATATTCTACGAACTTATAGGGGTTGTGCAAACCAATGCGGACGTGGTTTACAAGTAGCGAATGTAGAGCAGCTAGCAAATCATTTGAAGGGACAACATCTGTGACAAGGGGATTTGGAATATAACTTATTTAGAAAACGTTAGCAGAAAAGCTAAATCCTCCTCGTCCCATTACCCCAAGCATGTAGTTTTGTGTTAACATCAGCCAGCCTATCGTTGCAATATTTTCTCCTGCGTCGTCTACATTACAAAGCCAGCAAAGAACAAAGCAACTCGTACATAAGTTGAGGAGGTGGAAGAAGACGTGAACATCATTGTTTGTGGCCGCATCCACAACACAACACACTTTGAGGTCACAACCAAGCTGCCTGCCTAACCAACAACAGCAGCCACAACAATCAACAGCTGTTGGTTATGAGCCAAGGACAACGTGGATTTTCCAACGAACCCTTGGAGTCGACTTTGTTGTCGTCTGCCCGCTAAATCCCCCTCATCTATGACCAGAACAAAACCAGGGCAAGACTGTTGATTTTTAACCGATCTGCGTGAAAGAGAACTACAACAACAGCCAACAAACAAGTGTTTTGCATATCCACTTACACTTTGAAACCTCAACATCCAATCCATATCCCAGCTTTGCGTTAAGTGGAGTATACATTTAGGCGTTAACAGCAGTCAATTTCAATATCAATATCAAAAGGAAAGCCGATGTAAAACTTAGCTAAAACAAAAACGTTAATACCTAAGAAAAAAAAAACAGTGCTCAACGGAAAACTACAACAACAATAAAGTGTCAACAGATATTGATTTTGAACGCGTTAGTTTTTGCAGCAGTGGCGCGTTTATCCTTAGTATGGCTCGGTCTGTAAGAACGCCAATATCCCCCTCGTCGTCGTCGTCGTCGCGGTCATCGTGGTCGTCGCCGTCGTCGTCGTCTTTTTACTCGTTATTATCATCGTTCAAAGCTTCCTTAACCCGCCCCTCTTCCTCAAGTTCAGTAGCCCATCACCTGGCCGCTAGAAACAATGACATTTGCCGCGGTCTCTTTGCCACACTCGTTATACTGCTGCGCATGTCAGCGCTAACGTCAGCCATGACAGATCATCTAACGGTTCAAACGACCAGCGGGCCAGTACGCGGACGTTCGGTTACAGTTCAGGGTCGCGATGTACACGTGTTTACCGGCATTCCGTATGCCAAGCCGCCCGTTGATGATTTGCGTTTTCGCAAACCTGTACCTGCAGAACCGTGGCATGGTGTCCTAGATGCAACGCGACTGCCAGCAACATGCGTACAGGAGAGGTGAGTTCTACAATGTTTTGCATGAATTTCTACAATATACATATTTTATACTTAGTTTCTTTCTAACGATGATATTTTTTTTATTTATAATTTTTGACGTGCTAGTCCATAATTCAGTGGTGTCATGTAACAAGACTTAATATTTCATTTGTTGCAAGATGAGGGAAATAAATGTGAAAATTTAACAGTTTGCTATACTCTAAGCATCTTTTTCTTCAAAAAGAATAAATGATTTAATGCGACCAAAATGTACCCCAACGAAAATCCGTTCTGGCGCGAAATCCATTGTGGCACACCTAGATTTGCATAGCCATATCTGTTTGAAAAGATGCTGCTCTCGATTACTTGGGGAGCATACGACTTGGTTCAAACTTGGCACATCATAATATTTTTGTCAAACGTAGCCAATGTCCAAATATGGAGTACATCGGTCCACTTCCTTGGGTATCTAACACAAAATTTCCAAAAAAAAAAAAAAAAAAAAAATAATAATAATAATAATAATAATAATATAATAATAATAATAATAATAATAATAATAATAATAATAATAACAATAATAATAATAATAATAATAATAATAATAATAATAATAATAATAATAATAATAATAATAATAATAATAATAACAATAATAATAATAATAATAATAATAATAATAAAAATATTTAATAATAATAAAAATAATAATAATAATAACAATAATAATAATAATAATAATAATAATAATAATAATAATATAATAATAATAATAATAATAATAATAATAATAATAATAATAATAATAATAATAATAATAATAATAATAATAATAATAATAATAATAATAATAATAACAATAACAATAATAATAATAATAATAATAATAATAATAATAATAATAATAATAATAATAATAATAATAATAATAATAATAATAATAATAGTAATAATAATAATAATAATAATAATAATAAAAATAATAATAATTATAATAATAATAATAATAATAATAATAACAATAATAATAATAGTTTAATAATAATAATAATAATAATAATAATAATAATAATAATAATAATAATAATAATAATAATAATAATAATAATAATAATAATAATAATAATAATAATAATAATAATAATAATAATAATAATAATATTAATAATAATAATAATAATAATAATAATAATAATAATAATAATAATAATAATAATAATAATAATAATAATAATAATAATAATAATAATAATAATAATAATAATAATAATGGAGAAAATTCCAACTAAAAAATTGTAGATTCATTTCAACAGTTCATGTTAGGTCTTTTTATACCCTTTATTATAGTTTGTAACACCTCGAAATCTATATTTTTAGACCCAGCATAAAATTCTATGTCGATTTAGCGATGTCGGTCCATCTGCCCATCTTTACGTCTGCGGAAATCACTCCAGCTTCCGAACAAAGTGAAGTAGGTTGAGAAAATTTTACTCAAATGTATATAATGTCTGCAGGATTTTTGATATTTAAAATGGGCCATGTAGATCCACGTTTTGGTATCGCCCCATATAATGGTACCTTCTTATTTTCGGTATTTTGGTGATTTAAGCGAAATTATTCATCGCAAATGTTTCAAATTTGGTATTTGAAGTTCACAATGGATACTACAGCCTAAGACAGAAAATTGTCATTGCAGGTTCACGTCTTCGTATATCCCTCATATAACGGCACCTCCCGATATTTGGTATTTTAATGATTTTAGCGATATTTTTCACGGGAATTGTTTTAAATTTGGTATTTGAAGTTTGTAATGGATACTACCTAGTGGTACCCCCGATATTCGGTACTTTCATGATTTTAGCGACATTATTCACCGAAATTGTTTCAAGTTTGGTTTTTGACAGAAAATTGTCTGTGCAGGTCCACGTCTTCGTATAGCCCCCATATAACGATACCTCCCAATATTCGGTATTTTGACGATTTTAGGTACAATTCTCACCGAAATTGATATGATTTTAGCTACATTATTCACCGTTTAGTTCAAGTTTCGAATTTAAATATGGCAATGGCTTATGACAAACAATGCCTATGTAGGTCTATAGACCCCAATCACATAGACCCCAATATAATGGCTAAATTCGGTATTTTTAAGATTTTAAAAGAGTTCTTAAGGGATTTTTTTTTGGTGAAAATTTCCAAATTCGTTCCAAATGGCGGAGGGCATTCCAAGTTCGGCCCGGACGAACTTACTACTTTTTAACTGTTTTTTTTTTTTAATGTTGATACTTTTGCGGCTGTTATCAGAAGAAGTTAATTAATTCCGTTAATTTTTCCATAGTTAAACGTGCATGGTTTGTGGTTGAACAGCGTTGAATTATTTCTCATTTTTATATCCGACATGGTACCTATGGTACCTTACGACACACAATTTGTGACATGAAATGATATTCAAAGAATCACATTCTGAGACGATGTATGCATGTTCGTCAGTTTGTCCATGTGTTTTTGTAAACAAAGTACAGGTCACATTTATTTTCCGATTGTGTGTGAAATTGTCCACAAATCTTTTTATTTGACCCAAGGACGAACCCTATTGAAATTGGTACGAATCGGTCCAAATTTAGATATAGCTTCCATATATACCTTCCATCGATTTCAATTTTTTTGTGCGTCATATGTGTAATATAATGTCCTAACGGGATGTATTTCGGCATATTCCATATATATGCAAGTGCTTTTAACATCAGTTAATATATTTCTACATCCGATTTGGTATTAAAGTCCCTCACTTTCGTAACATGGGCTCTACAATAATGGTATTTGGTAGCAGATATAAGATACAGTTCAGGAATACATCTGCCAAACTTTATCGAGACCCGTTCAGATTTGGATATAACAGCAATATAAATCTTCATCCATTATTTATTATTTTGCACCAAATGGTTAATATCCTTCCAAAGAGTGTGGATTTTGGCACATACGACCTAATTCAGTTAGAACAAGTTAAAAAGCAGTAAGTTCGGCCGGGCCAAATTTTGAATTTGAAATTTGGAAATTAAAAAAAAAAAAATAAAATCCTTAAAAAATTCTGTTAAATTTTAAAAATACCGAATATTGCCGTTATATTGGGGTCTATGCGACGTGGATCTACATAGGCATTGTTTGCCATTAGCCATTACCATATTCAGATTCGAAACTTGAAATAAACGGTGAATAATGTAGCTAAAATCATCAAAATATCGTATATAAGGAGGTGCCGTTAAATTGGAGCTGTCCGAAGACTGGACCAGCATAGACAATTTTCTGTCACAGGCTATATCATTCATTACTAACGTCAAATACGATATCTCAAACAATTTCGGTGGGTATTGTACCTAAACTCGTCAAAATACCGAATATAGGGAGGTACTGATATATGGGGCCTATACGAAGACCTGGACCTGCATAGACATTTTTCTGTCACAGACTGTCACCCATTACGAACTCTTAATACGTAATTTGAAACAATTCCGGTGAATGGGAGGTACCGTTATATGGGGGCTATACGAAGACGTGGACCTGCACAGACAATTTTCTGTAATAGGCTGTAGCATCCATTACGAATCTCAAATACCAAATTTTAAACGATTCCGGTGAATAATGTCGCTAATATCATCAAAATACCGAATATAGGGAGGTACCGTTATATGGGGGCTATACGAAGACGTGGATCTGCTCAGATAATTTTCTGTCATAGGCTGTAGTATCCATTTCGAACTTCAAATAACAAAGTTGAAACAATTCCGGTGAATAATGTCGCTAAAATCATTAAAATACCGAATATCGGGAGGTACCTTTATATGGGGGCTATATGAAAACGTGGACCTACATGGCCCATTTACGAACTAAACCTGCCTACTGGGAAATCTTAATTCGTTAGAAAGATAGCATGATTACAACAGACAGACAGACTTACAGACAGACAGACTTACAGACAGACAGACGGAAATGGCTAAATCGACTTAGAATTTTACGCTGATCAAGAATATATATACTTTGTTGGGTCTGACATGAGTATTTCCAGGAGTTACAAACGGAATGACAAAGTAAATATACCCTCCATAATATGGTGGAGGGTTTAAAAAGTATATCAAAATTTGTGAAAATTGATTCAGATACAGCTATATAAATTGCTCCTTGTGAAGGCACTAATAGTAGGTGTGGACGGATATGGCTCATATTTCAACCCTTGAAAAATAGTGCTATGTGAGAAAGAAATCGGAGATTCTGTTAGGTTTCTGAGAGTAAGAAAGCTGTAAGTTAGGCCGGGTCCAACTTTTTATACCCTCCACCATTTGGGACGAATTTTGCAATTTTCAAAAAAATAAAATCCCTTAAAAATTTTGCTAAAATCTTAAAAGTACCGAATACAGTCATTATATTAGCGTCTATACGACGACGTGGACCTGCATAGATAACTTTTGTGATAAGCCAATACAATATTCTAATGTGAAACTTGAAAAAAATCGGTGAATAATGTAGCTAAAATCATTAAAAATACCGAATATAGGGAGGTACTATTACAGGGTTGTCCATATTCGACGGACCCATCTGGCAACGCCATAACTTTTGACAGAGATGTCACATCGCTTAATGACATACCGCGTTTGAAGCGTCAGTCCAAGCAGATTTTTACCATGAACCAAACACGCTACGCGAGCGCTCTGAAATAGTTGAAATTTACATTCAACAGAAGAAGTCAATTGTAAAAAAAAAAAATCTGAGAAGTGCGCCTTCTAAGAACACCATTAAGCGTTTATACGAACAATTTTCGACTGGTAAGGCTCTTTCTAATCCGAAGAGGCCATATAAAAGTCGACCAAGGCGATCGGCCGAGAATATCGCTGCCGTACGAGCCATTGTTGAGAGCTCCCCAAGAACATCCCAAAAACGCCATTCTCAGCAGTCGGGCATGGCTCGGTCCACTTTACAACGGATTATTCGCATTGATTTGCATTTGTTCCCGCACAAAATTCGCAAAG